CCACGACTGGTTGTCTTCAAATTTCTGGCAAGATTGGGCGGTTTTGACGCCGCGGCCTGCCGTTCTCCCATCCCTTGAGCGTTAGGTAAATGTATTGTTGATTTTTTGATTTTTCTAGTTCCCTGAGCATGTTTCTAACCGGAAAGTTTTGTGCCTTCGATTAATGAGGCCTTCATTAATTTTACACATATTTTTGTTAAAGTATTGGGGAAATTGCAAACGAAAAGTGAAAATATTTTTCATTTAAGGATGTTAGTATAGAGTACGAAAGTAAATTCATGGGAAAAATTTTTTGAGGCAGTTCCAAGTCCAGGTCTAGGGTACTTCATTCCCTGTGTGGGTTTTTAGCTTGTATGCTCTGGGTCACGCTTGTCGGTGAATGATGTAGGGTTAGCTTCACGTTTGGTCTAGCTTTCCAACCGCCTACCCTTGTGCTGCAGGGTCAACCTTCTTCAGTACAAGATCTCCGGGAGAGAAATCTTTTTCCCAGACGTGTCGGATGTAGTACCGGGCAACTCTCCTCTTGACTTCTTTCTGTCGTAGGGCCGACTGTGCTAGGACTTCTTCCACAACATCTAGCGCGAGCATGACACCCTCATTTTTTGCTTCCAACCATTCCAGTGGACTTTCTTCATTGAATGTCATATCTGCGAGGACTCTTTGGCTGCATGGTTATACTGTACCAACAACATTACTTTCATTCCATGTGAAATCATGAACTGTGTTTGACCGGTCGCAGTTAATGGAGTCCTGTAGATGGCCCACTAGACGGACTGAAGGATTTCTGCCCAACTTCCCTTTGCTTCTCTTTTCTTTCTCAACAGATTGAGGATAATTTTATTGGCCGCTTCGACCTGACCATTGATCCGTGGGTGATGGATTGAGCTAAATTTGAGGCATATTCCTTGATTTTGGCAAAAATTTTGCACCTTATGTCCATGAACTACGTCCCATTATCCACAATGATCACCAACGACAGGCTGTAGCGATAGATCAAGTCGGTTTAGATGAAGTTTTGGACGATGTCCACAGAAATCTGGGCAAGGGCTTTGGCCTCGATCTACTTCGAAAGGTAGTCTACTGCCACCAGGAGGAATTGCCGTTGTCCTCTGGATGGTAGGAATGATCCCAGAATATCCAGACCCAGACAGCGAAAGGCCCCGGGCTGGTGATCGGTTGCCGTTTGCGTGCCGGTTGATGCTATAGTAGATCATACTTCAGGCATTGTTCACACCTCTTGGAGAATGCTTCAGTCCTTCAACAATGTTAGCCAGAAGTACCCCTGCCACTGGACTCAGAGAGCAAACGTCTTTCTTTCTGAGTGGCTCTCACATTCTCCAGTGTAAACATTTCGGAGAATGTCTTCCGCTTCAATTTCTTTTACGCATCTCAGGTATATCAAAGTTGATTTTCAGAAGAGTGTTCCCTCTATTAGTAAATGTTCGACGGCTTTGATTTTTAATTCTCATGGGGTATGTGACCTCTTCCGCAACGTCTCCCATTTCTAAGTACCTATTGTATTTGTCTCTTCGCCTTCTATCGCCATTGCCTCGAGTTCTTTGATTATTGGCCAGTTTAGTACTTGCGGTGTCCTGTTCCCCGGTGAACACATCTGGACATGTCCGCCACTTGGTTTCCTTTTCTACTGACGCGCTCGAATCAGAGCTGCACCAATTTTTTAGATTTTCGTCGTGGCCTTGTTAAGATACTTTATCATTGTGTCATCTCTGGCTTCAAACTTCACGTTATTTGATTTACTACAAGTTGTGTGTTCGATTTTACAATGAGGATTCGTGCACCCACTCGTAGGCTAGACGCAGACCGACAATCAAAGCCTCGTATTTTGTTTGATTGTTTGTCACTTCAAACTGAATGACTATTGAATGGTACAAGTGTTCTCCTGCAGGACTACTTAAAGCAAGCCCTAGTGCTGCTCTGGTTCTTTGAGGCGCCGTCCACGTACACGAGCCAGTCTTATCGGTCGCTTTGAAATTTTTCATCCGGCCTTTCATGCTTCAAGAAGTCTATCAGGAAATCTGCGACAGTCTGTGCTTTAATAGCCGTCTGAGGAACATAAGTGATATCGAACTTACTCAGCTCGATTCCCCACTAGAGTAGCGGGCCGGAATGCTTTGATCGGGCAAGCACCGACTTCAACAGATAATCTGAAATCACTTGGCCGGGATGCATTTGGAAGTAGGGTCGCAACCTGCAGGTCGACATAAATAAAGCAATTGCTAGTTTTTTCATAATTGAATATCTAAACTCCGCCTCTCGGAGAACTTGGATGGTGTAGTAAACTGGGAATTGCCTTCCCGATTCCTCCCTGACCAGCATAGAGCTGATCGCCTCAGCTCCCACTACATAGTATAATGAGAGTTCTTCATTTGGCTTTGGACTTTGGAGGAGCGGTGGTAAAGTTAAGGAATCTTTTAGGCTTTGGAAAGTTTGTTTACATTCACATATCCATCTCAAACTCTCGGCTTTTCTGAGGGTTTTGAAGAATGCCGCGCACTTGTTGCCCGACCTTGAGAAGAACCTACTGAGAGCCGCTATCTGACCGGTTAGCTTCTGAACCG